ACAGTGCAATTCTATACACATCTGCTCAGAGGTCAGTCCAATTAAAATCAGAGGAGCGTGGTCCCTTTTACATTGACACACAGCTGACGTTTCAAAGTAATTAGAAAAGTAACAGATATGCTGGAAGCACTGAGAGAATAGAATACTACTGCTTCTTACTTCTTCTCTATGTTCCCTCCATAATTTGTGCAAAGCAAAGACTTGTCTTACTGACTTGCATTGCTCTGTAAAGTACATTGCACTCTGATTCTTTTTTATATGTAATGAATAATAACAGCTAATTACATGCTACCTTTTTAAGGTCAATGCTGCATTTTATTCCAGCACTGCTTTGGGGCTTTACTTGATATATGTGATGCGCAATGTTTCTCATCGCAACATGCATCTGTTAATGACACAGGAGCAATGTTGGAGAACAAACATTATCCTGTGTACCTCCAGTTTAGCATTTGTCTTAATACTGATAGAAAGCTGAACACTTTAATTGCAGTAAAATACTAGGCCAGATAAACATTGCAAGACTATATCACAAGAGTCATCCAAGTGGATTTACACACAATATCAAAGCAGTAAGTGCAATGCTTACTTTTGTGGGTAACTCCTACTGATTATTTCAGCTGTTCCACTACCATGTCTTGTCCCATCCTATTTCTCCACTTACAGGCACCACTGTATACTTAAATGTCTGTTCTCTCCTGTCATGTGCTGTGTGGCAAAGCCAAGAATTCTTCCATAAAATAGAAGAGAAGTGTAAGTAACAGGATCGTGGTAATGGATTTCCCTAGTGGCAACCAAGCAGGGAAAACGGCACCAGTTTCCTCCTTTGACAAACCAGGTTCCATCCATCAACCAAAACCATCTCTTAACCCACTGTATTACATTGTCCACAACTCCTGTTTCTCAGCAGTAGTAGTGGGAAGTTAATAAAGTAAAGCAAAGCATGCTGCTTATATACCGCCCCATAGCGCTTCAAGCACTCTCTGGGCGGTTTACAATTTAATTATGCAGGCTACACATTGCCCCCCCCCCAGCGAGCTGGGTACTCATTTTACCGACCTCGGAAGGATAGAAGGCTGAGTCAACCTTGAACCCCACGTCGTGAGCACAGTTATGGCTGCAGTACAGCAGTTTAACCACTGTGCCATGAGGCTCACCAATAGCTCGGCATATACAGTAAAACCTATTTAATAATATCAAATAAAATCTTGAAGGTACAAATTATAGCAGGTTAGCAATCTAAGCTTAATAAACATGATAATTGACTGCAGAAGGAACAGGGTATGATTAAATGTTTTCATTTCCAGCTTTCTGCTGCAAAGAAAATATCTGTATTTTTACATAGCAAGCTTTGCTGAACAATTCTGGGGCAAGGTGTTTATCTTTCAAAAGATCTGTAATGGAGACATCAAAACTGCTATTATTTTACTCTGAAATGTAATTAAGTTTTGATTACCCTAATTCAACATATGCATGCAAATGTCAGAAACACTAAACAATAATCTGTTTTTAATGCAGTAATGTATTTTTCTCCCAAATGCTCCAGAGATGCATAAAATTAGACTCTCACACAGTAGCAGTGCTCCAACACAACAGGAAAAGCTTTATAATGTTTGATCGTACATTCCATACTTGTGGGAGAGACAATTTGTCAACATAGTAAGAAAAAATAGAGGAAATAGTTATGATTGTGCCAGTTTAGGCTCCTGTATGTTGATAATCTAACAATGGCAATTTACATTTGGTGTCAAAGCTGTTGACCTGGCACCTAAAATTAATTAACGTAACATATATGCATACTCATTTTATTCTGTATACGCAATAGATAACCTGGAAGATGCTTGAATATTCATTCTATCACCATGATTTATGCCCATCTCTTACAACAAATTTGTTTGTTTGTTTGTTTGTTTGTTTGTTTGTTTGATTGATTGATTGATTGATTGATTGATTGATTGATTGATTGATTGATTGATTGATTGATATGCCGCCCATTCTACCCAAAGGTTTCTGGGCGGCTTACAACAATTGAACTACAGTAAAAAATATATAAAACAATTAAAATTAAATTAAATACAGTATATACTCTAAGTTGCCATCAGGACCCACAGTTGATATTATTTCAATTAAAAGCCTTCTGGAACAGGAAGGTTTTGACCTGGTGCCGAAATGTCATCAGCGTCGGTGCCAGACGAATCTCAGTCAGGAGGGCGTTCCATAGTCTAGGGGCAGCTGCTGAAAACGCCCTTTGTCTACAAACCATTCATCTTACCTCCTTGATGGACGGCTCTTTCAAAAGGTCTTAACTGCTGGATAGGTTCCTAACTGCCGGATAGGTTCATATGGAAAAACTGGAATTCTGTAGAAAATTAACTAATTGCAGCAATATAATACATATTAGTTTGGTGTAACAGATAAAATCTTTGCTCCTTGGATAAATAAAGCAGTAAAATGGGCAAGCCAGCACATGTGGAGATAATAATTTTAACCCTTTCCATGTTTCTTGACCACATTATACAATTGATTCATATATTCAGTGTTTCTTGTATCTTTTTTACTTCCCACTTCCATAAACAGCAAATTAGACATAAAATCAACTGTGCCAACATAGTTGGGCAAACCAGCAGAGTCCTGACCATACATATTTAATATTTTAAGGTCACAGCAAAAATAAATGCCCACTTACAGCCAAACAAATCGGTTAGGCCTACATAGGTCAGATTGAGAGAAAATGCCACCCCGGCATCATTCAGCGAGTTTCATGGCTGATGGAGAGTAGAATCCATATATCCCAGGAAATACAACTCAGACTGCACCACACTGGCACTCCAGCCAGTAACATCCAGTAATAATAGTAACACAATAGCATAATAACACTATTGCACAGTTTAAAGAAGACAGTGAAGAGCAGTGTGTCATTTGACCCTTAATTTCCTGCATGTATTTTGGTTTTATCACAAGGTTTAAGAGGTTTAAAGGCAAGAAAGATTCAGCTAGTGATTTACAGTTGCCTTCTTCTGTACAGTACTTATAAAGGTTACCTTGAGTGTCACTGCTGTTGTCTATAAAAGTTCCAGTGTCACTTTCAGCTACTGCTGCTGTCCAGTAGCTGCCATCTATTTCTCTGCCCCATCATCATTGGAACTATCCATTCTCTTCTGCTGATGTGGCCACGTGTGGATGCATCTTAGTCTACTGCCCTAGCTGTGAACATTCTGCCCTGGGTGCCCCTGCCAGGAAGCCAGATTCACAATGGAGTCTAGCTTCCTGAGGCATTACCATCAACTTACCTGACACATTCAAACCCCGTTACCATGTTAAGGTGTGACTAGTTTGAAATACGATGCTGGAGGACAGCTTTTCAGGAGCTCTGGACTACTAGAGAGATATAAAAGTTACTTCTAGATGAAATTAAGCCTGAACTTTGTCTCAAAGCAGAAAAGACGAAGTTGAGGCTGCCATACTTTGGACAAATCAAGAAAAGGCAAAATTTACTAGAAAAGGCAATGATGCTAGGGAAAGTTGAAGGCACAGGAAAACAGGAAGACCAAAAATAAGATGGATTGGCTCCATAGAGGAAGTCACAGCTTTGAGCTTATAAGAGCTGAGCTGAGCTGTTCCAGCAGGATATTCTGGAGATCATGCATGTTTAGGGTTGCCATAAATAAGAGGTTACATGCCAGCACGTAACAATAACAACATTTTCTTACAAGAAAGTTTAAATCATTAGTATTCTCACCAATACGTATTTATGATTTTCCTGTTAGATGTACAATATTTATTGAGGGTACAGTATTGGTTTCACTCCAGGTCAGTGAAAAACAGTCCTAAGGTAAACCTACTGTTCCAAGTCCTCCATTCAGAGCACGTTACCAGTTAGGCATCCTTCAGTCTTGAGAGACTATGGTAACATGCTCTGTATGGAGGACTTGGAACACCATCTAGTGTGGCTGAGAAGGCCAATTCGAGAGTGACAATCCCTTCCACAATGAGGACAAATACAATCTTTCCCCTGTCCAGCTCCCTGATTTTGCTGCTTCCGGGATTGCCTCTTTGCTTCAGCCTGCTGGACAAGGGTCTCTTCAAATTGGGAGAGGCCATGATGTACCACCTGCCTCCAGGCTGAACGCTCCGATGTCAGGGTTTTCCATCTGTTGAGGTCCATTCCTAAGACCTTCAGATCCCGCTTGAAGATATCCTTGTATCACAGCTGTGGTCTGGGGCGATTTCCCTGCACTAATTCTCCAGGAGATCTTTTGGAATCCGACCATCAGCCATTCTCACGACATGCCCAAGCCAACGTAGACGTTGCTGTTTCAGTAATGTATACATGCTAAAAATTCCAGCTCGATCTAGGACTACTCTATTTGGAACTTCGTCCTGCCAGGTGATACCAAAAATGTGTTGGATAAAATGCATATGGAACATGTTCAGCTTCCTCTCCTGCCATGCAGAAAGGGTCCAGGACTCACTGCAGTACAGGAGTGTGCTCAGGACACAGGGTCTATAGACCTGGATGTTGGTATATGCTGTTAGCATCTTATTCAGCCATACTGTCCTTGTCAGTCTAGAGAACATGGCAGCTGGTTAGCCAATACATTTATCCAGCTCAACATCTAGGGACAGAGTGTCAGAGATTGTTGAGCCGAGGTACACAAAGTCATGAACAACCTCCTATTCTTGCGCATTACATAATCTCTCGAGACTGAAGGATGCCTAATTTTAAAGTGTCTACAAATTGAGCAAATATACAGTTAAGGGGGGGTTGCTACACCTATGTGCATGTTATACAGTACAGTATAGGACTTTTGAAGAAAAATCATGCGTGAACAATGTTATAGATCATCCTTTATCCACAGTTTTCAGGCGATGGGGCTGGAGTCTGCAAACTTGAAAGATTAGTTTAAGGGGTCTGCTGGTGTCAGATTTCACTTCGGAGGAGGTAAACTCCCCCCCCCCAAATAAAGCAGAGCCTCTAGCGAGTGTGCGTTCATCCCACTGCCTTTCTGTTGAAACGGAAACACCAAGAAATAAAGTATGAGTGCGACAAGGTTTTTGAATTTTCTGACTTTTAGGAAAGAAACCAGAAAGCTCCGCCTCCTGACAGTAGTCTTGTCACTCTATATCCGTTCTCTACCGTCACCTCCATCCTCACCCACAGAGCCGGGCGGAGTCCGTCGGGCCTCATCCTGGAAGAGGAACGGCCTTGGAGGCGGGAGGCATTTTAGTTTCCTGGCCGTGTCCGTGTCCCGGTGCGGAGTCATGGCCGACTCGATCCGGGGTCCGCTCGCCCGGGCCATCTTGCAGCAATGTCTGCACGCCAGGCTGCAGGTGAAGCCCCCCGAGCCGGGCGCCGAAGCCCAGTGGGTGGAGGTAACATCTTCAGAGTCCCAGTCGTTTTACTATTTAGGGGCACAGGGGTGGGAATCTTCTCTTGATCGCTTTGGACTGCAACGCCCATCCTCCCCCTCCCCCCGAGAGGCAGCCTACGTAGCTGAGGGAAGATGGGAGTTGAAGGCAGGCCAGAAACATCTGGCAGGTTTTGGGCGGTTCTCGGAATGTCTGGCACCGCTCATCGCTTTCTCCTCCTGTCTCGTCTGCGAGTGAGAGGAAAATCCCCCCAAATAAATCCGGGTTGAGAGGATGTTCTATCGTCTCCCTCCCAGCGTCATCCCGGCTTTGATCTTCAGGTTATACGTGATCTGCCGGCTTCCAAAAATAATCAGAATCTTCTAATGCAGATTATTATAATCCCTGAGAATGCTTTTCATATTGCCGGAAGTACATTATTCTTGTGGCCACCCTCGGATCACCTCAGTGCGTGTGCAGAAGTGTACAGGAGGCACTTCTGACTCGTAAGAGATAGGTTCTGAGCCCATGGTTTATAGTGTCAGCCCTATGCTGCCCAGCCAAAGGTCAAGGATGATAGAGGGTTGTTGTTTTTCTGGTCTGATAACAGCGGAAGAGCCATAACTTCCACGCTCCTGGTTTCTGAGATATTTTCACACATGGCAAAAATATTTCTTAAGATATTTTCACACAATATTTTCACATATTCAAGGCCTGGAATATCACTCTGAAATACGCACTTGGCATTACTCACTACTGTACATTACAAATGTACAGTACAGTGGAGGCAGGCACTGCATCACAGCCTCTCCCAATTTGAAGAGACCCTTGCCCAGCAGGCCGAGGCAAAGAGGAAGTCACAAAAGTTGTTTTTCTGGTCTGATAACAACGGAAGAGCCATAACTTCCACGGTCCTGGTTTCTGAGATATTTTCACACATGGCAAAAATATTTCTTAAGATATTTTCACACAATATTTTCACATATTCAAGGTCTGGAATATGACTCTGAAATACTACGCACCTGCCATTACTCACTACTGTCCTCCTCAGCCACACTAGACACTGTTCCAAGTCCTCCACACAGAGCACGTTACCATAGTCTTTCCAGACTGAAGGATGCCTAACTAACATTACAAATGCCTCTTCTGCACTGAGAAAAAAACATAGAGAGGAAATACTGGAACTCTATAATATACAGTACACACTGACTACGAGCCCAGTGGAACTCGGTGGGGCTTCCTTGCAAGTAAACATGCTTAAGAACCCATGTTCTTAAGCATGTTTGCACATTCAACACAAAGGTCTGAATTGATGCTTATAGTTGTTGAGCTCAACTACAAGCCTGCTTACAACAGGCTTCTGAGTAGAGTGTAGGTGGGGCTGATGTTTGTCCCCACTTGACCTCCCTGATGTAATTTTTTTTAAATTCCATTTTTTCTGGACACCCCAATTTTTCAATTTTTTTTCTGGAAAAAATGGAAATGTTACATCTCTACTTGACTGCCACCTCGTTTTGCCTTACTCTCAAGTTGAATGCTATTGTTTTGGAAATATTTAGCAGAGACTCACTTGTGTATGCCAAAGAAATAACACAACATAGGAAACTGCTTTTAGTATACAAATATATACCTTACAGCCAGTGTCTGTTAAAATGAAGTAATTCTGCCAACAAAATGTGGCAGACTTGTATATCATGTTGCACTTAATGATTTCATGCAAAAATATAATGTATATGTTTAGTTATAGCAAAATGTGCAGTGTGTAAGCCTATATCTTTGTTATTTCATATAGATTCAGCGAGGACTTATAATCTATGTATGCTTCTTCAAGGGGGCCAGTGAAGAAATTATTCCAAAAATGGGTATGTTTTTAGGCAAAATGTTCTGAAAGCAGGCAGTTGGAAACAGTAGCATTCAAAGTATGTGAGTAATGCCAACAGCATTGAATAATAAGGACTTATTTAATCAGGCTTTGTACTAAAATAATGAAAACTGCTCTCTGGGGAAGGCTATTTTGAGCAAGTGTTCCACTTCCAAGTTATGTTACACATCATACAATGAGCTTTTAAAATTAATTTATATGTGTTAAGCTTCCCAAGGCACAGTGTGTTATTAATATAGTGACTATTTTGCTTTAGACCTGAGGCTCTATTAAAGTATAACCTAAGTTGGTAATATTTGTATCATTTTGTATTTTTGTTTGCTTCTCTGCATTCATAGTTTTTGGAAATAAATTGGTTAAGGGTACAATATAAGTATCAAGTTGTTGGGTCCCAATATATTTGTGCCTAGGAAGAGATTCTGATTTTGCCTTCACAGCAAGAGAAAACGCTATGCTTTTGCAGCTTCCACTTCATGAGCAGAAGGCGTTTCTAAAAGAGAACTGGAGAACCTGTGGCCCATCATGTATTGGCATCCAGGTTCCATCAATCCCTGCCATCTTGGCAATGGATGATAGGAATAGCAGTTCATCAACAAATGGGGAGCCACAAATTCAAAACCCGAATACGTGATACAGCCGAGTATAGCATAGTTTGTAGCTTCTAGATCCTTTTGTCATGTACTATTGTCAAGCAGCTGTCATCCATCATATAGTCTGATTTTTCCTGCCTAAATACACAACTTCACCTTTTCTCTCTTGAAATTCAGTTTGTTTGATTTGGCTGAGCTCCATAATCAGTTATGGTCATATTGAATCCCAGTTCTTTCTTCTGAAGTATTAGGCACACCTGAAATTCAGTATCCTCTGCAGATGTAATAAGCATTTCCTCCATGCCCCCATCTAAGTCATTTAGAAAGAACTTGGTTGGGTTACCAATATTTTCAGATTAAGAAGAAGAAATTGTATAGCTCATTTAATCCACAAAAGGTCATGCCTTAATAAATTAGTTATTCTTTAACACACCCCAGGATTGATTATTTATTTATTTGTTTACTGGCAACAATGGACTTGAACAGCACAGCTACTGCTTGAGAAATTGTTAGGAAAATAGGTATAACAGGTAGCCAGTAGAGGGAGCTAATGTACAGGTAAATTTATTCTGAGCTACTTCAGAATTCAGGTAGTGTGTGCATATAGATCTCTACCTTGCAGTGTGTACAGCATTGGACAATCTTATCATGCTACGAATTGATGTCTGAGTTCCCTCATTATTCTTTCCCTTCCATACTTTTTTCCTTTTATAATGTGTATTTCCAGCTGCTAAACCTGAGAATAGGCACTGTTTTGTTCTGTTTTTAATTGAGGTAAGCTACTCTCTGTGTTTTTCTAGCTGAAGTGCAGAGCATAAATATTTTAAATAAACAGGCAGAGTTTAACATGCTGCATTGATAGCTGTGCTAATACCTACTAATACATTCCCCTCCCTCTGTCTTTGCAGTCAACACACTCATGAATGTGAAGTTAAGTGAAAACGAAGACGGCAAATACGTTTCTGTTTTGGACTTGCCAGGCAGCCTATTAATAATACCTCAGGCCACCTTGGGTGGTAAACTCAAGGGAAGAAGCATGCAATATCATGCCAACATTGAAAAAGACATTGGGCTGGAGCTCTATTCGCAGTTTGTGCTCCACTGTGAAAGAGAACTGGCTGCTAACGCCAAATGTTTTGAGGCTGGTGCTGTTGTCAGACAAGGAACATATGGAAACCGGCAGGTATTGAAAGTGGATACAAATGGACCTTTCACTCATATGATTGAGTTCTGAAAAATAAGTGATTTTGAGACTGATTTACTGAGTCCAACAAATATTAAACTATAGTGCCAGTACATAATGTAAAATTTAATTTGAGCTTAATGTTTGAGAGAAAAAGACCCAGCTAAATATATTGAATTATTTAAATGTAAATGATCTCGAATAGTCATTCTCTTTTGTGTAATCAATTGCAGGCTTTCAGTGAAAGGAGGTCCACTGACAACATTATAATCTTTTCAGCCAGGCTCCTAACCTGGACATTTTATCCCCTCTGGTTGCGCCATCATCATCCATGCCATCAAGACTGAGGGTTTTGAGTCATGATCATTTCAAAAACAATCCACATCCTACATGTCAAACTTTAGCTTTCTAAAGTTGATATATAATACAATTGTGGGGAATCCAGAATGGATACATATGACTGTTTCTAGCAAGCAATGAACTGAAGGTGAAAATGAAAAGTTAGCAAAATTTATGAACCATGAATATTGTTCTGTGTTTGTCACATTCTAACGTTACTGGAAATGGGACACCAAGTATAAAAAGGATTGATAGAATTGCAGAGACAGTCGTGGCAGATCGGAGCCTCCACCATTGGGTGGCTCTTCAAAACATGTACCTGCCCTTACTTGTTAACAGCAGACTTTGACCTTATAGCTTGTTTAACTGAAGCAGAGTGTCTTTGAACTAAGGTGCAATAGGGTGGAGACAAGGGCTTCTTTAGCACCTTCAGTCTACCAGGCACAACAGACTGAAGATAAATGAGCAGTGTTAGTGAGGAGTTTACAGAAAACCACTGTGGGTGATCACCTTTTGCTTTCTATGTGACTCCATTTCCTCTCCCAGCTCACTGTATCTCAGATGCTTCCAGCCTATAGATAGTCCCCATCATACATGATTCCACTGATGCTAGTAATTCTATAAGCAGAATGACACCACTGGATCACATCCTTTGTTTTTTACCATTAGAGAGACTTGTATTCTGCTTGATGATGGTGTAATTACAATTAATATATTGGAGAAAGCCAGGATATAAAATGAATTAATTAATATTTGGGCAATTTCAGGATTGCCTTTCCCCCCTTTGCACTGTGGTGTTCTTCTAAAATCTATTAATCAATTAAAATGATCCACCCCAGAGACTTATGGATCCTGAAGGATTCCTGAATGCTCTAGGGTAGCGATCCCCAACATATTTGGGGCCATGGACTGGTTGCGGGGAGTGAGCTCCATGCACGGGGGAGTCGCACTTGCACATGACACGCCCATCGTGCAGAAGTGCTGCTGGTAGGTGCTCCGCCAGATAGGTTAAAGGGCCATTTCCCTGCCCTAGACGGGGTTGCACTCCCCCAAAGGACAGGGTCCGCAGCCTGGTGGTGCTCCTTGACCTTGGAAGCCCAGGTGGACTCAGTGTCCAGGGGTGCCTTCTTATAGCTGCAGAGAATATATCAACTTTGCCTTTACCTGGATGAGTGGAGCCTGGCAAAAATCACACATTCATTGGTAACAACCAGACTGGACCATTGCAATGCACTATATGTGGGGCAGCCTTTGAGGACGGTCCAGCAACTGCAACTGGCACAGAACCGGGCTGTGTGGCTGGTAAGTGGAGCTGCCACGTGGATTCATATCACGCCAGTTCTGAAAAATTTACACTAGCTGCCAGTTGCTGCTCAGGCCCAATTCAAAGTGCTTACCTTGACATTTAAAGCCCTAAACGGCTTAGGACCTGGGTACCTAAAGGACAACTGTCTTCCATACGAGCCTGCCCATTTTCTAAGATCAGGCCAGGAGGCCCTTCTGAAAGAGGTGAGGGGGATAGCATGTTGAAATAGGACCTTCTCGACTGTTGCTCCCCCCCAACTTTGGAATACCCTCCCTATAGAGATCTGCCTGGCTCTGACACTTTAGGCTTTTCGGCACCAGGCAAAGACTTTTCTGTTTAGCCAGCATTTTAATTACAGGCGTACCTTGGTTTACGAAGTTAATGCGTCCTCCAGGATGTTATGTCATGCAGAAATTTCATAAACCAATATGCGGATTTCACTAGGAATGGGGGTAGCGCTAGAAACCTCCAGGCGCAATGTGTCCTGGGGAAAATCCTTTCGTACAATGGGGAAAAAAGAGAAAAAGAACATAAACGGGACATTATTTTCTATGGATTTTGCTTTGTAAACTGGAAATAACATAAAGCAAAGCTTTCATAAAGCGAGGTACCGCTGTAAATAGTATCCTTTAGCTGGCCGTAAGAGCAGCAGGATTTATTAATGATAAATTGACTGTTTTAATATTGGGTATTATTATAATACAGTACTGGATATTATTTTAAAGTTTTTAAGTTATTTATTTATTTATTTACAAAAACAAATTAGTCGCACCATTACCAATGGTCTCTGAGTGGCGATGTGGTCAATGTTGTTCTAAAGTTTTAATATTGCTGTATGCCACTCAGAGACCTTTGGTAATGGCACGGCTAAAATAAATAAATAATAAATAAAAGCAAAACTCAAAAGCAAGTAGGGTGAAGTCCTGAACTAACAGTGTAAATCTGCACATCTACACCTGGGGGTGGGTGGGGACCAGATGCACAGTTACAAGATGAGGATACTTGGCTCAGCAATACTACAAGTGAGAAGTATCTTGGAACTGTAGGTAACAAGCTAAATATGACCCAACAGTGCAATGTGGCCACAAAAAAGGCAAATTATATTTTAGGATGCATTAACAGAAGTATAGTCTCCAAATCTCATGTGATATTAGTCCCCCTCTATTTGGCACTTATTAGTACTCATTTAGAGTACTGTGTTCGGTTCTGGACACTGCACTTTTAGAATGATGCCAGCAAGCAAACATGTTCAGAGGAGGGCAACAAGAATAATCAAGGGAATGGAAACCAAACCCTATGAAGAAAGGATGTTAATATATGTTGTGTTCAAAAGTAGATTGCAACATGTTTTGGATTACAGATGATGGAGGAGAATGGTACTGTGGAGACCATAATAATTATATAGCTGACATCTACACAGTTAAAGCTTGCCTATTTCTGTTAGAATCATTTATTTTTAAAGTAGTCAGAAATTAAAATAATTGAGGTAACAGAAGAGGTAATTGAATTATTTGATATCAGTGAAAACTCTGTCTATTAGAGCTACAATGCAATTCCTTTCATCACTTAACTGAAAATGGTAAATAAGGGTAATTTCACACCTTAATTTCAGATTATAAAGTTCTTTATAGTTCTTGTCGAAATAATATTGGAGCTATTAAAGATGTTCAAAAACATTTTTGTAGGTTTATAAATCAGTGTGGTCCATTGCAGATATAACCTTGGCATCTTGCAAATGATAGTTAATCATTTGATTCTCCTTGTAAACCAGATGCAATGATTTAAGATGATTTTAAAATGCTGTTGCACAGAACTCCTTCCTAGATTGACACCTTGACATGATATAAGGGTTTGAATTTGTTAAGAAAGCTATGGTGTTATGAGGCTAAACTCTGTTAGGAGTCTAGACATAGCAGAGTCACCCAAGGCGGAGTTGTCAAAGCTGAGACACCGGACTAAGATGCATCCATTATCTTCACCCAATATGAATTGCATCAGCAGAAGATAGTTGGTAGTTCCAAAGGAGATGGTTGCTGAGAATTTCTTGGGGGACAGCTACTGAGCAGCAGCAGTCATGTAAGGTGGCACCGGCAGAAGCTCTTATACAGACTGTAGCACTTAAACTGAAGGTAACTTGTTAGTACTGTGCTGGAGGCAGCAATGGGAAACCACTTCTGTATATTTTATATCTCGAAAAGAAAAGTCATAACAAAACAATAGATGGTGCTGGGAGGTGAGACTTCCAGGTCAGAAGGCAGTCAGCTACTGGGGAAGATCAAAGGACAAATGTTAATAGCACTGTTGCTAATGTCACAAATGGACATCCAGTTGGTGATATGCACAGATGAAAAAGGTGAGTCCAGTGCTACACATCCCATATAACTGTACAGGTTGATTCAAAGTAGGTTATTTTCTGATCACACAACACAAATCGGTCCAGCCTTTTTGGCTCACACCACAGCTTTCTTCCTGTGCTGAGAGCTTCTACGTTTTTCCATTCATAATGTTTCACATACTTTTTCTCTGTGATCAGCTGATTTGTTCTTGCAAAGACCGAAGGCATGTCTGTGGGTTATGTTTTGGTGATGTAGGGAGTTGGGGTATGGTATTCAGGACCATGGAAACACCCACCCCCTCATTATTTCCCACCAGTCATCTTTTTTTCAATGTGATTAGTGCTAGTTGACTAGCACTGATATACAGTGGGGTCTCTACTTAAGAACTTAATCCGTATTGGAAGGTGGTTCTCAAGTGGAAAAGTTCTTATGTAGAATCTGCATTTCCCATAGGAATGCATTAAAAACCATTTAATCCGTATCTGCTCTTTTCCGTCCATAGAAACTAATGGGAAGCTGCTATTCCGCCTTCTACCACTAGAGGGGGATTTTTCTTTTTTTTCCCTTAGGTCAGGGAACAGAGTTAAAAGCACTTCTGACGAAGCTAATTTTGAAGCAATGGACTGAAAACCAATTAATCCGTTCTGGCTGTTTTTTTTTTATGTAGAGGTGCGTTCGTATATTGAAGCATTAGTTCCCATAGGAACTAATGCAAAGCTGGTTAATACGTACCACTAGGGGGAGAACTTTTTTTTAACCTAAGATGACCTAAGGTTAAAAAAAGAGCAGGAAAGTTTTTTTTTCCTGTTCTTATCTGGATTTTTGTTCTCAAGTAGAAGCAAAATTTAGCAAATGGAGCTGTTCTTAAGTGGAATTGTTCTTAAGTAGGGACGTTCTTAAGTAGAGACCCCACTGTACAGTACTAGTTTAGTGCTAGATCGCTTCTAGATGAAGGAAAAGCATTAAAATTACACACAAAACAGAAAGAACCAAGACAAAATAAAAGAGGGTCTAGTGGTATGTGGTATTTCTGTACTTAAGAACTTTGGAAAGCTGCCACATTTTCTGAAACAACCTTTTCAAATGGTTGTTGTGGGTTTTCCGGGCTGTTTTGCCGTATTTTGAAGGTTGTTTTTCCTTAT